AGCCGACCTAGACATTATAGCTCTTAACTTGAACGGCTTGGCACAAGCATCACAAGGGAAACGCGATGCCATCTGGCGAATGATGAAGGGGGATGACGCAGGTCAGTGGCTAGATGTCATATGTGTGCAAGAAACTCACCTTACACACTCCCCCGCGCATAAGGCAAAGGAAAAGTGGGTATGGCCGTACACATCATTCTCAGCGCCAGCTAGATCCGGAGCCTCAACAGGGGTGGCCATYTGGATACCTCCCTCCTCACGGGTCGTCCCCACGACATGCGAGTACGACAAGCATGACGGCAGGTGGGTGTACGTTAAAGTGACAATAGGCGAGGAGGAGATAGGAATTGTYAGTGTATATGGCCCAAATGATCCCAGGGACCGCGTCCAGTTCCTGCATCGACTCTACCAAGAGCTAYCATCAGGCGCCCCGCTCCTCATCGCCRGGGATTTTAATATAACACCAGATCCGATATTGGATAGACGATCCTCCTCGCRGCGGGGGACGAGGGATACCCCTCAACATACCCCGGCCCCGGATGCGGAAATGCTGGCAAGATTYATGGCGGCATTGCAACTTAAAGATACCTACAGAATGCTCCATCCAAATAAGAGAGCATACACATGTGYCCRCTCAAGAGGTGTAGCGGGCACATCTAACTCCCGAATCGATCTTATCCTCGTCTCAGAGGACCTCATTGGCACAGTACTAGTGGCTGATATCATGACCTTCAGTCCCTRCAAGTCCTTCGACCACAGAGGAATAGTGTTGGGGATCTCCTTTCTTAATCAAAYAGAMAGGGGGCCCGACTTCTATAAATTYAAYGCCTCTTTGTTGAACCTCCAAACATTAAAAGATTTGGTGAGGACATTCTGGGAATACTGGGTTACCCAACGAGATTCGGCTCTCTCTGTAGTGGAATGGTTTAATAATGGTATTGCCCAACTGAGGGATAGGATAAGGAAATTCTCAATTAATCATGCTAGGGAACGCAAAGCCATATTGGACAAGCTCTTGAAGAATCTGGAAGACTGGGATAAAAAACTGCATACAACTCCCTTGGATGACGAGACTTTTAACAAACTGCAGACAGCAAGGGACCATTTGCAGAACTTCCTAGACCACCAGGCTGAGGCATGGAGAGTGCAAGCAAGAATAAGGCGGCAAGACACGGAGGGGACAATGGCCAGGGCCTTTTTCAGAAAAGCCAGGCCCTTTTTCAGAAAAGCCAGTGCTAGAGCACGAGCAACAATGGTTGCCACATTAAAACACCCCTTTAGCCCAACCCTCCCTGATGCCACTAACGCCTACACCATTGTTGACTATGCGGCCCAATTCTATCACAAACTTTACACATCAGAATCCTCMCAATGGGGGAGTGAGCAGCTCAYGAATGYCCGMACCCAGATGCTCCAGCATCTTCCGGCRGTGCTGTCAAATCAGCAAAGAATGCACTTGGACACCCCCCTCTCCATGGATGAACTGYTGAAGGCATTACAAGGRATGGAGGACGAGAAAACTCCCGGCCTGGACTCCTTCCCAAAGGAGTTTTGGCTCYAGCASTGGGAARTTTTCAAGACCAGCCTGTCGRAGTATGTTGAAGCCGTAAGGCAAGAAGGAACCTTCGGTGGTTTGATAAGCCAAGGGGTCACAACTTTGCTATACAAGAAAGGGGATAAGGCRGACGTTCRGAAYTACAGGCCAATCACACTTCTGCCCCTCCCCTATAAGATTGTYTYTAAAGCCCKCACAAATAGACTGCTTCCGTTTATGGCCCACCTCATCCATCCCGACYAGAYAGGATTTATGCCACAAAGGAATATTCAAGATAATGTCCTACTTGTCAATGAAACTATCAAGTACGCKAGACAGSGTAAGAGAGACGCGRCAATCCTGTTTATAGATTTCGAAAAGGCATACGACCATGTGGACTGGGACTTTCTGGACTGCTGCCTGCAACAAATGAACTTTGGGGYATCCTTCAGGGAATGGGTATCCATAATGCACAGAACGRMCGCCACTAACATTATGATTAACGGCCACTTGTCCCCCCCTTTTCAGTTGCARCGATCCGTGCGACAAGGTGACCCCATTGCCCCTCTCYTTTTCGTGCTGGTTATGGAGGCAYTSGCAGCCATGATCCGAGCAAACCCGACAATTGAACGGATTGASATYCYGGAACTACCACCCCACCTTGTGCCTGTCACATCCTTGTTTGYGGACGACCTTACGGTGCTCATCAAAGCTACAACATCCTCTCTACAAGYRCTGACAGACACCATACACATCTTCTCCATGGCGGCCGATATGAAGGTAAAYTGGGGCWCCAAAACAGAAGGGTGGTGGTTGAGTCCAACGRGACTAATCCCYCCCCCGACACCCCCAGTAAATTGGCGCCCTGGAGAGGAAGCGATCARAATTTTGGGTATCAGGCKCACARCGCTAGGCCCCCCAAAAGACCATGGAGAAGTGCTAGTGGAAACARCGCTTAAAAGGTTGGYCAAATGGGACGGCCTCCACACATCTCTCATAGGRAGGGCGCTRGCAATTAACAATGYTGTTCTAGCRTCAMTATGGTACAAAACGRCCTTCWGGGATATCCCTAAAGCGCAACTGACARCCCTGCGCACAGCAGTCGCMRCCTACTTATGGAAGAACGATCACCAACAGGAGCGATGCATTAAGCGCKTGGGYTGGAAGTACATCACCCAACCCAAGAAGGTGGSTGGCCTGGGCATACTGGACCCAGGGGATGAGATCAAAGCACTTATTTTCAAAGTTATTACTCGACTACTGMTGGCCACGGACGTCCCCTGGGTACCACTGACACTTATACAACTAGCCCAASTGGCCCCCYCATCCATGCTCGATAACCCCGTCCACCYGCTGCGCTGGTTTACAAATAAAGCCTGGTCTATCCCTGGCCCGCCACGACATAAGCGAGATGGGACTRCRCAGAATGCTACCAAATGGGACCTCAAAAATGATCCCCTCTGSACAAATATCCTGCACCTGTGGCGAGAAATGGGCCCAMATAATAAACCCCCCCCTGCCCRRTGGCATGAAATCTGGAGACAACCCRTTTTKGGGAACCCGCACATACYSGATGATAATGGGCAACCCTTTTCTCTTACAACTGGCAGCCATTGGTTGACATGGGTGAAAAAGGGTTTGTTCATCATAGGGGATCTGTGGGACGTCCAACGGGGAGCATGGAAAACACCACAACAGTTGCGACCGGTCCTCAGGCACATTAAGAACAGCCAAGCAAAACTCGACTAGCTGCAGGCTGCGGTACCACTAAGTTGGGTACGGGTTCTAAAACTTGGGCCGCAACTGCGGAAGGATGACTGGGTCTCCAAAAACGATTCCAACCCCATCCCCATGGTCATTTATAGAGTGCTGAATGTGGCCGTGGGAACCACAGATTTGCAGGCATATGAACCGATCATGCCAGGGGCCAAGTGGACTGGACTGAGAAGGAATCTTGACCTTGACTGCCACCACCTGACCGAGACTCTTACAAGAATCCGAGTTGTGGGAGATGATGACACAGGCTACTTTGCTTTTGAGATGACCTCCCCCATTTGTGCCCTCTCATTCGACCCTGATGAGTGGGAATGGAGCGGTCATAAACCTACCCCGATTTGGCAGTATACAGTAAGGAATGGGTATAAACAGGCCCACCATCTCCACCTGTCAACCCCGGTGGTCTGCAACAAATGGACCCGTGATTCACCATTGGAAGAAGCTAAGCTCATAGATATTCCTTGGACCTCTTATGCACACATAACGCCAACCTCTCACCGGGCCCTTTAGTGGCAAATTGTGCATAGATGCCTTCCGACTCCCGACTGGCTAACGACGCGATCGAATCTTGAACAAAAAGGGGTGTTGTCTCCGATCTGCACTTATTGTGGGCACTCCTCATCCCAACGCCGTCGAGCAGACCTGGAGCACTGTCTGTTGGCTTGTCCCATGGCTCTCCAAGTCTGGCGATGGTGGGACGCACTATGGTGTAAGCTCTCAGCCACCCCCTTCCAATGGGATATTGGCCTGATACTGCTGGGGAGGCAAACTGACTACCCATCCACCTGGTCTGCTTTTCAACGAAATCTGTTCAAGAACACTCGGCTGGCCATCCTTATGGTTATATGGAGAACACGATGTTCGACCGAACGTAAAGACTTCACCTTTGGCTTCCCTCAGGCTAAAGTGGAGATTGTCGAGCACATTAGGGCCAACATAGTAAAGGCCAATAAGAAGCTGCTCACTGAGTTGCAAGCAATACCAGATCAATTGAGGAAGCGACAAGCAATCTCAGAGTTTGAGGACCTCTGGCTCGACCCCCAGAGGAAGATGGCAAAGCTAGGCGATGAAGGGACACTGCTATGGAAGAACTGGCTCGCCAAGGAAAAACACTGGCGGCTGAGATCGCTCGATTGCTTCCACACCCCGCTGTCGGGCGAGAATGCACGTGCCTTGATAGAGGACCGTGTACACGTAGGGGGAACTCAGACCAACACCCAACCTCTCCCTTCTCCCTCCCTATCCCAGCCTCCACTCCCTTGCTCTCAACCGCCGCTTACCCCGCCTCCATCGTCGGCCCCATATCCTCCTTCGCCTTCGGCCCCCCTTCCCCGATCTGTCTATCCAATTGCCCCCTTGTCGCCGCCCCTGACCCCCCCCCCCCCCCTCCCTCTCGCGAGCCCGCCACCGCCCCCCCCCTCCCCTGTCCCGCCTGGCCCGATCCCTCTGTCCTCTTCACGCCCCCTTCTCGTTGACCCCCCCTCAGCTGCCCCTTCACCTCCCTCCCACCACGAATGGTGCTCGGCCCCATAAATGGTCTCCCGTCCCCAGACCGGGGTTCAGGTCACCAAGCCATGCACAACGGCAGCCTTGAAGAGCTCCAGCATTCTCAGCCTCAGCAACAGGGTGACATACAGGCGGGAGGTAAGAGACATAAACAAAGTCATGGATACCACAGAAAAAGATGATGTGAGTTTTAATATCATGGCATCATCACCTCCTTCCAACAGTCCCTGATTCTACACCATCAAGGACTACACTCAACCCTTCTACTCATACACCACTCAAGCCAGGTCCCGGAAATGCATTAGCGGCCGGTCCCTTTCCACCTGAGTTCCCAGGGCGAGTGCCATTAGTAGGCAGCACATTCTGTGCCGGAGGTAGCGCCGACGCTGGCTGATTACCCGCAGCAGGATTAACCCACGGCACTGCACCAGACATCGCCGGGATCGCCGCTGGCATAGCCGCAAGCATCATCGCAGGCCAGTGTCCGCTGGCCGGCCACGCTTGCAAGCCCCATTGTCCATGTTGCAACTGATATCCAAACGCACTCATGGAGCCTGGTGGTGCCGCCGCCATTGTCGGATGTGGCCCAGGCATCATCACCTGTTGCCCGGCTTGTACCGCCTGTCCCGCAGGAGCTGGCATCGTGTACTGAGGCACCGCGCCAGAAGGCAGCACTCCAGGCGGAGCAGGTACCGATCCCGCCATACCGCCCGCGTACTGTATGGGGTTCCCTTGATTCTGGGCATGCTGCCCATTCCCCGCATAACTCATATCAGTCCAGAATCGGCCACAGTTCGACCAACGTCCACGCCGGTTCACACTCCGACTGCTCCGACCTCGACCGTACATATGAGTGATGATGGATATCGCAAACAACACCCACCCTACTCCAAGTCCAATGGTGAAGCCTTGCTCACGATGTTTCGTACTAATCCGTATATCCTTCGTCTTCCAATTTCCAATCATCCAGTCATCCCCCAACTGAATACCCTCCCTACCTCACTTACTCAGGTAAGCCAATCACTACACGCCGTGGGGCAACAATTGATCGTGCTACCACACCTCTGCGCATTTTCAGCACCTCTCCACCGCAAAGTATCATGCCAACAGTACCAGATGGCTTACCGCATCACTACGTCACAACAACTCAACTGCTCACCGGTGGCCTGTGCTACCGCACGTGCGCATCTTCATCCAATCTCGACCGCACAGTGTCGGGCCAGATGACTTATCGCGTTGCTACGCCCCAGCCACTTGGGCAGCAGTTAGCGTGCTATCGCGTATAGCGCATTTAGCAACAGCATATACCCGTCTCAGAATATGTTGTCGAACACCATCCTCGCTACCGCCAATCGTATGTAGCAGTACGAGCCCTGCTCAGCAATCTTCTATACGAATACAGCGGCGTTACCACGCATCCGTGCCTTATCTCATGTGTCGTCCTTGCCTCGCAGCCGTCTTTCGTGATAGGATACGTCCAACAGTTAGTACAGCAATCAGCAACCAAACACGTATTCGCAAGAGAATATAGATAAAAGAACGATGATACGAACGCATCCAATACCGCGCGATGACGCGCGGGGCTTACAATATGAATCAAAAGAGACTCATGAACGGAAGTAAACGATTCCAACTTAGAATAGATTAACAGTGATTAACTTAGCAACTTAGCAACTTTAATAGCTGCAAAATATGCACGATCATCCGCAACCACCCATGGAATCACGGAAGGTTGGAGAGGATCGGCACCTCAGGCTCGTTCCCAAGCCACGGCAAGGTCGAGTCTGAGGCTGTATACCATAAGAGACATAAACAAAGTCATGGATACCAAAGAAAAAGATGATGTGAGTTTTAATATCATGGCGTCATCACCTCCTTCCAACAGTCCCTGATTCTACACCATCAAGGACTACACTCAACCCTTCTACTCATACGCCACTCAAGCCAAGTCCCGGAAACGCATTAGCGGCCGGTCCCTTTCCACCCGAGTTCCCAGGGCGAGTGTCATTAGTAGGCAGCACATTCTGTGCCGGAGGTAGCGCCGACGCTGGCTGATTACCCGCAGCAGGATTAACCCACAACACTACACCAGACATCGTCGGGGCAGTCGATCCCCCGGATAGGCGGGAGGTAGCTGCCTGGGACTACAACAGAGGATCAGCGTTGCACAACAGCCGACGAAGAGAGGGCCCATTCCTCCCTGCAGGAGGCAGGTAGCTGCCTGAGATTACAACAGAGGATCAGCGTTGCACAAACAGCCGACGAAGAGAGGGCCCATTCCCCCCAACCGGAACAGGGGCCGGTGGGGGATAAGGCCCGTTCTCTTCCATTTGGCAAGGACCTTCAAATCAGCCTGGCTAGGGAGAAGGGGAAGAGGAAGGAAGAGGAAGGAAGAGGAGGAAAAGCATAGGGACAAGGAATAGAACATAGGAAAGACAAACTTCACAGGGTTCTAAGTACTCACGGCCAGAGCAGAGCTGTCTACTATGGAATGACACAAGAAGCCAGTCACTGTTTGGGCCGCAGAGGAAAATGAGTTGAAGAGCAGTTGTCACCTATGGTTAAGTGTGTATGTGCAAACCATAACCTATACTGTGACGCGGTAATAAACCCCACAGAAATCTGGGTGTACAATCATTCGAAGCATAGGCTAATACAAGCATAGAACTTACGGTCTTTACAGCGGGGGGAGCTGTGATGGCAGCAATTTCACGACATTCTACGTGGTGCTCCGCTTCTGGGCCTAACCATACCGCCTTTAAGTTACTCTGATCCCATTAACTATGTAAGAAACATATGCTATTAGACTTTAGGCGGCCCACAGAGGGCTAGCTCACCAACACACACATCAACACCGGGGCAGTCAATCCCCCGGATAGTCAGGGGTAATCAATGATGGCGGGCACAACACATTGATCTGGTTGTAATATGGTACCTCTGATTGTATAGGGGGCGCTGGACCCATTTTCTAGCAGGTGCAACTCCCCAGCAATAGATGGAGCAGTCCAAAGCTACTACTAGTCGGGGCTGCTCATATAATCCCCTCTCGTAGACAGCCCCAGCTCTTTCCATACACAAAAAGGCAAGACCATCACCAAAGATCCCGACGTGTATGCAGGCACAAAGAAAAGAAACACCCAGTGGTAAGAAGTGGGAGTAAGGCAAAAGGGAGTGAAGCAAAAGACAGTGAAGCAAAGGGCAGGGAGCCAACCACGCATTGGACAACAGACAGTGAAGCAAAGGGCAGGGAGCCAACCACGCATTGGACAACAAGTGGCAACACGGAACATGGGCTGGAGGGCATGAGGGAGGTGGGTGGGCAGCCTCCCTTTCTCGACCGAACCATCGTTTCCCCCACGGTCATCGTACCATCCACTGTGTTTGCCTTACTCTCTCCGCTGAAGATAGACTATACTTGTGTTCAAACATGCAGTCATATACATCGTGTCTGAGTGATTGACAATCGTATGGAACCCTGAAAGAAATTGGGGTAGTCATGAATAGGTTATAGTCGCGATCAATTATATTAACGAATAAGGGAAAATCATTGAAGATCATGGATATCAACATACCGTCTTAATTTTTATCCAATCTCTACGCATAAGGTAGTTATTTTCTCATTAGGTCTACCATTTATCATTTGCTTGACTCTGTACCGAACGTTCTTGATTATCAATATTCCTTTTTTAACCCGTAAAGACCATGTCGGATGTTGGAAGCTAAAAACACCTTATTTTTGCCAATGATTGCACTTTTTTTCAAAGGTAGGTTTGGAGAATGAAACAAAGAATAGATTGACCACGAACCCTAGCGTGGTCATGGAGGAAAACTAATTGTATCATTTTGTCAAACGTTGAGGTAAGTCATGAACTAGTTTATATACAACTTGTTGGTATGGATATAAGCCTTGTCAAAGTTTATGAAAACAATTATAGGTTTAATCGTCCTTTGTTGTACACCCGAAGGATAACATTGACCAGTAGTATATTTATTTTTTATTTTTCTATTATGCAAAACCGTTATTTAGTCATGTTATATCATACCCTCAAGATCCTTTTGAAATCCATTAGCTTGGAGTCCAACTAGCATAATGATTTCGTTACTTATTGTGAGGAGGGTTTTGGGCTAGTAATTTCTATTACCAAACTTATCTATTTTTTTAATTGGAGGACTAGTATACCTTGTCTTATTTTCTTTATTAAAGTATTTCCCTCATAAATGACCTTATACAATCTCATAAGCTTCGACACTAAAATATTTTAAAGATATCATAAATCCGGTTTATTAAAGCATCGCTCAAGTTATATTCTTCCCTGTAAAGATTTATACTAATCAGTATTTCACCGCGACTGACCTATTTTTCCATGTGTTCAATCCAGCTACAAATTGCAATATTAATAACTTGCACTATTGGTGCAAGGTCCATAAGGAGTTAGTTTTTAAAATTTTCGTGTTTGCATGTTAATGTTTGAAAATGTTGTTAATGGAAGCCGAAAATTTTAAATAATTTGTAATGTTATTTATAACAAAACCATAAACTATTTTAACGAAACTTACACCAATTTATAAAGTGGATACCATATTAACTAACCGCATAAAGAAGAATAGGGGAAAAAAAATATATTAAACTGTAAGGCAATTTGCCAACATTTCAATTTCAAAAACTTTTCAAAATTTTAGAAATGTAAGCAGAGGAATTTCCAATGTTAAAAAAAACAACATTTATGATACAACAATCTTGAACCAAAACAAAAACAGAAAAAAAAAATACAGGCATAAAATCTTACCCCAAACCCTACTTTTACTTTCGGCCCATCAACCCAAGAGTTGTAAAGTGAGGGTCCCTTAACTAATTTTTGTTATCTTTGGACATGGTTCCCTTCATATGTTTTATGTATATAGAAGCGACGGGTGTGCCTATTTTCGAGTTTTGAAATAGTGTGGTATTGTATTTTTGAGATATAGTGACTGATGTGTGTCACTGTTTAATTAACCTTGAACGCGACACCTATTTCATGATTTTTGAAGTAGCATAGCTTGTGGTTTTCAACATCGCTACTCATGATCGGACTTAGGCTTAAACTGTGTACCTGTACTGTGGTACTGTCTAAAGTAGCGTAGCATGAAGTAGGTAAATACTGGGTTGTTGATGTCATGCTAAGCCCCGGATTGAACTAGGTATCTATGCGTGTGAGTTTGCTTAGTTGAGATAATGAGTTTTAGAAATACCTACCGGGTCTCAGATGAACCGAGACTGGTTTCAGGTTGCTTACATCTGGCTTTTATAGACTTAACTAGTCTAAGCGTGTGACACGGTCAACTCAGATACTATAATTATACAATTTGGATGACTCATTAGTCCTCTTACGGGCATTCGCTATTCGCACGAGCGGTCGCGGACGCGGGTATGACGGAATGTTCAGAGGATCATGGGGTTGTAGAACGTAGTGTTATGTTGTAAATCTCTAATGAGTGTACTTCGTTAATTTCAATGTTTGTGACTTATCTGTGACTAGCCTTAACGTGTGATTGACTGATTGACTGCTCTGCATGCTCGATATGTGAGTGACATCGATATTTGTGAAGTTTGAAGTGTAAAGCATGTTATCGGCGAGATAAGTGGGGGTGTCAATGACGGGGCATGGCGATCAGCGTGACTACGAACATGGAGACCAGTGAGGCTACGACAGCGACTATCAGGGCTACGACGGTGATCACCATGATCACACAGGAGAGAGGCGTGGGTATGATCGTGGTCCTAGATGTGGACCCCCCACGTGTTTTAACTGCAATGAATTTGGGC